CCAGTCCAATCCAATCCAATCCAGTCCAATCCAATCTAATCCAATCCAAGCCCATTCAGTCCAATCCAGTCCAATCCAATCCAGTCTAATCCAATCCAGTCCAATCCAATCCAATCCAGTCCAATCCAATCTAATCCAATCCAAGCCCATTCAGTCCAATCCAGTCCAATCCAATCCAGTCTAATCCAATCCAGTCCAATCCAATCCAATCCAGTCCAATCCAATCTAATCCAATCCAAGCCCATTCAGTCCAATCCAGTCCAATCCAATCCAGTCTAATCCAATCCAGTCCAATCCAATCCAATCCAGTCCAATCCAATCTAATCCAATCCAAGCCCATTCAGTCCAATCCAGTCCAATCCAATCCAGTCTAATCCAATCCAGTCCAATCCAATCCAATCCAGTCCAATCCAATCTAATCCAATCCAAGCCCATTCAGTCCAATCCAGTCCAATCCAATCCAGTCTAATCCAATCCAGTCCAATCCAATCCAATCCAGTCCAATCCAATCTAATCCAATCCAAGCCCATTCAGTCCAATCCAGTCCAATCCAATCCAGTCTAATCCAATCCAGTCCAATCCAATCCAATCCAGTCCAATCCAATCTAATCCAATCCAAGCCCATTCAGTCCAATCCAGTCCAATCCAATCCAGTCTAATCCAATCCAGTCCAATCCAATCCAATCCAGTCCAATCCAATCTAATCCAATCCAAGCCCATTCAGTCCAATCCAGTCCAATCCAATCCAGTCTAATCCAATCCAGTCCAATCCAATCCAATCCAGTCCAATCCAATCTAATCCAATCCAAGCCCATTCAGTCCAATCCAGTCCAATCCAATCCAGTCTAATCCAATCCAGTCCAATCCAATCCAATCCAGTCCAATCCAATCTAATCCAATCCAAGCCCATTCAGTCCAATCCAGTCCAATCCAATCCAGTCTAATCCAATCCAGTCCAATCCAATCCAATCCAGTCCAATCCAATCTAATCCAATCCAAGCCCATTCAGTCCAATCCAGTCCAATCCAATCCAGTCTAATCCAATCCAGTCCAATCCAATCCAATCCAGTCCAATCCAATCTAATCCAATCCAAGCCCATTCAGTCCAATCCAGTCCAATCCAATCCAGTCTAATCCAATCCAGTCCAATCCAATCCAATCCAGTCCAATCCAATCTAATCCAATCCAAGCCCATTCAGTCCAATCCAGTCCAATCCAATCCAGTCTAATCCAATCCAGTCCAATCCAATCCAATCCAGTCCAATCCAATCTAATCCAATCCAAGCCCATTCAGTCCAATCCAGTCCAATCCAATCCAGTCTAATCCAATCCAGTCCAATCCAATCCAATCCAGTCCAATCCAATCTAATCCAATCCAAGCCCATTCAGTCCAATCCAGTCCAATCCAATCCAGTCTAATCCAATCCAGTCCAATCCAATCCAATCCAGTCCAATCCAATCTAATCCAATCCAAGCCCATTCAGTCCAATCCAGTCCAATCCAATCCAGTCTAATCCAATCCAGTCCAATCCAATCCAATCCAGTCCAATCCAATCTAATCCAATCCAAGCCCATTCAGTCCAATCCAGTCCAATCCAATCCAGTCTAATCCAATCCAGTCCAATCCAATCCAATCCAGTCCAATCCAATCTAATCCAATCCAAGCCCATTCAGTCCAATCCAGTCCAATCCAATCCAGTCTAATCCAATCCAGTCCAATCCAATCCAATCCAGTCCAATCCAATCTAATCCAATCCAAGCCCATTCAGTCCAATCCAGTCCAATCCAATCCAGTCTAATCCAATCCAGTCCAATCCAATCCAATCCAGTCCAATCCAATCTAATCCAATCCAAGCCCATTCAGTCCAATCCAGTCCAATCCAATCCAGTCTAATCCAATCCAGTCCAATCCAATCCAATCCAGTCCAATCCAATCTAATCCAATCCAAGCCCATTCAGTCCAATCCAGTCCAATCCAATCCAGTCTAATCCAATCCAGTCCAATCCAATCCAATCCAGTCCAATCCAATCTAATCCAATCCAAGCCCATTCAGTCCAATCCAGTCCAATCCAATCCAGTCTAATCCAATCCAGTCCAATCCAATCCAATCCAGTCCAATCCAATCTAATCCAATCCAAGCCCATTCAGTCCAATCCAGTCCAATCCAATCCAGTCTAATCCAATCCAGTCCAATCCAATCCAATCCAGTCCAATCCAATCTAATCCAATCCAGTCCAGTCCAATCCAGTCCAATCTAATCCAATCCAATCGAATCCAATCCCATCCAATCCAGTCCAGTCCAATCTCATCCAATTCAATCCAACCCGATCCAATCCAATCTAACCCAGTCCAATCAAACCCGACCCAATCCAATCCAATCTAATCCAGTCCAATCGAATCCAATCCTATCCAATCCAATCCAGTCCAACCCAATCCAATCCCATCCAATCCAGTCCAGTCCAATCTCATCCAATTCAATCCAATCCAATCCAATC